ACAAAATATCATATAAAGTATATAGCCCAGTCAAACTAGATAGAAACTATTTTTTGGCGATAATAAGGAAATAATTGCGGAAAAGCTGAATTTTTGTATATAGGCTTATAATAGCGTACTTTTTAACATATCAAAAGTCCCCATGCGTGGGCGCATAGCCGGCTGGGCCATTTTGAAAAAAGTCGGTTAAATCAGTTTTTTGCTAATATCTCAGAAACTATTTATTGTACGGAAATTAACGTTCAGATAAAAAATGAAGCCGATAAAATTCCACACTATTTGCTTTTTTAATGAACCTCGTACGGCCAATAGTTCCCGAGATAGATTTTTTAAAAGATCTGATGTTTTTGAACGTTATGGAAATTTGTTTTTTTTTCGCGCATTTTTCGCGAATATCTCAAATTTGGCTGCACCTACAAAACGTATGGAATGAAATTGATAGAGTATTTAATTATCTGTAAAATCGTTTTTTTTTTTAATGTGCGACCGATATTTCCGGAGATATCAGACTTTTGGATTTGCGGACATTATGAGAACGTGACATTTCCTCGCAAATATATCGAAATTATCTTGTATACGGCTACTTCTACGCTAAAAATAGTTCTTATCAAAATGAAAGGTTATTAAATTCTCTGCATTTTGGTTTTTTGTTTATTTGTATATGGGTAATAGTTACAGAGATACAGCTGAAAAGCGTTCATTATATGTGTTTCTGAGTACGTTTTTGTAAATAGCTTACTTCTGACTTGTCTGAGGTGAAAAATGTATGGGAATAATGTGAAATCTTATAAAATTATCTTTAAAATGATTTATGGTTGAATCTCGTCCGCTAAATAGTTTCCGAGATACAGCCTTTGAAAGATTTCGTAATATGCCGATTTTATGAAAAACTTGAACTTTTTGTATGACAAACGTATATAATGACGGTAGAAAAATTAATACCCACATTTTTCTGTTAACTTATATGTATATGTATATGAACCTATATTGATAATAATTTAGAAAGTTTACTTTTCGAAAAATAGTTGCCACAAAAATGCTAGTTTTTCGGTATTTAGCATAAAAAGGCGTTTCGCGGTATTTTCTTTACAAATATCTCAATTTCTGCAAGGTTTACATAAAAAATACATCACATAAAAATTGAAGCTTATAAAATTTCCTACAAAATGGTATATTGTTAATTTTCGCACGATCAACACTGGCTGCCATACAGACGTTTGAAGTCAACAGTTTCTTTTTCCAATTTGTACCTTCATTTTCATGGTTGATAATAATTTCCAAAAAAGTTTATTTGCAAAATATTAAAATCAACGTACGTTTCTGGGTTCGTAACACTTGATATTTGCTTCCATTTGGTATATAATATTATAATATATTATCTTACTCTTTTTAAGTATTTTAAGTATTATCTTACTCTTTATATTATCTTACTCTTTTTATATAATATTATAATATATTATCTTACTCTTTTTAAGTGTACTTGGCACTATTATATCTTGAAAATGACACTCTTCAAATGTGACCATCTTTTTACCAATCCTAGAAATCTAATAAATTCACGAAGTAAAATTGTTTTTCGATGCTACACAAATTGTTTTACAAATTAAAGAAGAAACATTGCATTTACTTTTACCTAGAAGATATATAGAATATTAATCAACCTTTATACTTAATTGTAAATCATCTAAGGGAATAATGAAAATTGAGATATTATAATATGGAGGTGCAAAGTATATCTCGCGCAAGTAGTGTAGAGTTAAATATTTTCACAACTAATTTTCAAGACAAGTTTAGAATTATATTAAAAATAAAAAATGTTTTAGTTGTACAACACCAGCTAAAAGAAACGATAAGAGATTGCAAAAATTTGGCTTATTTAATGGTTTATGCAGCTCAATGATTATATATAATCAATAATGATTGTATATATATTTTTTAAATATATAAAATAACTTTTAACCGAGTAAATCAATTCAAATAAACTTTTGTACAAATATATTTATTAGAATTTTATTAGTATAATAAAAAAATGGATTTAAGTCATGATAATGCTTTCTCATTTTGCAAATAAGTACAAAACGCGATGTTACACAAGAATCCATGTAAACAAAAAAAGTCTAATAATAATTTTAGAATATATTTAATAAATAATAATAATTTAATTAACATGTAGTAATTTTAATAATTTTAAACCAAAAAAACTGTGTTCAAATTTTATAGATATTCAGACGTAATAATGGAATAATCTGTGAAATTTTTCTATTTTTGATAATGTTTTGAGATGTGACATCTTTAAATAAAGGACAAGATGTCAGAAATTCGTGAGACTTCCTGTTTCTTAGAAATTCAATGCTGTCTTTTAGTTCCTCGACACCCAAATAAACATTAGTCCTCTTGCAGCCGCGATGCCAATAATTTTAGAACATCCCGCATAAAAATCGGGCGTTTTTACGGGTGGTGGTGGTCGTCCGGGTAGTAACTTTTCGACGAGTAGTAACTTTTCGACGGATCTCGGCGTTTTCGATCGTGCACCCCGCCGAAACGATAAATCGTACTTTACGCGACGTAATCCACTTGGACGCGCGATCTCACCCTTCGCGCGTGCATCGTACCTCTTTTTTTCCCTTTTCTTCGAACTGCCGTGCAGCGAGGTAAAGCAAGAGTTGGGAGGAGGGGAGGGTCAGCGGTATTCGTGCGCACCTCATCATCGGGCAAGACTCCGATCGCGCCGCGCCGTCTTTCGACGAAGCGATTAATCCAGAAATCGAACTCCGGCCTCTCTACAGGTCGAGCTCGTCGACCCGTATCGCACCGAGAATTGCGGCCGTGTATTTTGATGTATACATATATATGTATGTATGTATGTATATGTGCCTTTCTCTCTCTTGTAAA